TGACGCACACTAAACCATTACTATGCAGTTATCTGTCTCCGACCCACCATCAATCTACTTTTTCCACCCCCAGTCTTTAGCACAAACAAGGTCTCTCCTTCCATTGCCAGGACGTCATCTGGCCTCTTCTCATTTACTACACGAATGTCGCACCCCACCACCCTGCTGCATGCTGCCGGCCTCCCTGGAGTTCCATGACACCCAGAGGGCAAGCCTTGACCTCTGCGCCCCGGAGCTTGGCATGCTCCTGCCTCACACTTGCATAGGCAAGGTTCCCACTTCAGGCCCCTGCTCCGCGACCCTGTCAGACCACTCGATGGGAGTGCTTCCATTGCTCCTGGCTCCTAAACCTGCTTCCTGGTACACCGTGTGGCCAGAAGTCATGCGTTTACCCTGCACCTCGCTGCATGCTCTTCCCTTTACCTCAAAACACTCTTCCCCACCTCCTACCTGCCTAACTCCTGTTTAACCTTTTGGCCTCACTTAAACTAGTGATTCTCCACTGTGGCTGAAAAACAGAATCTCCTGGTAATTGATCCCGGTGCCCAGGCCAATTCCAAGTCATCGTCGCAAGCAGGAGAAACAGCCTCCGTGTGGTTTTCAGTCTCTTGGGGTGATCATAGTGAGCAGGCAGACTGGACAGCAGAGGCACAGGTGGCTCTTTTGCCTGGCTCTGTGCCCCGTACCTTGTAGAGGCTAATGATGCCTTCCTTTGATAGAATGATTTTGTTATGACTGCCTGATTCCCTGGACATAGCTCTCAGTAGATCATGAACTATTTGAGAATAGGGCTGGTACCTTATTCTCTGTAGTGCTTGGTATCTCAATATCTCAACATCAGAAACCAGCAAGCTGGACCTTAACTTAATGTAGTTCTTATCGTGGTCAGGTTTAGTGTCATCTCGCAGAGCAAATTCCTGATCCTATAGTTTGTAGAGTGTTTCCAAGCCAAGGTGAGGGTTGGCATCAGTCTAAGAAACACGTTCAGCTGGAACGTGCCCTTCAGCCGCCCTCACTCTCACAGGGGAGGCTGCCATGCACAGCCTGCCCCGCAGGGATGCATCACGAAGGCGAGTTGTATTGATCAGCGGGATAGTTTTGATGCCAACCTACTTACCTTGGCAATAGAATAACTAGGAGTTGTCCTAAGAGTTGGGGGACACTTCATTTTCTGTATGCACTCTAGTCCACATTGAGTCTCTGGGAATCGTGCCTACACCTGCTTCCTGGTGCACCATGTGACCAGAAGTCACATGCTTGACTTCTGGTTGTAACTGTCCCCATTTTCATGAAAGCTGAAGCTGTAAACATAGACTGGATTCAGCTTATGAATTCCTCAAAGGCCACAAGGAAGTTCTCAGACTATTCTGAAGGCATAGTGGTTTCGTACGCAGAAGTATGGCATGATTTGTAACGTAGAAAGATGACAACGTATCCTCCTACTTTAACAGGGGTGGGGTGGGGAAGTGGAAGAGCCAGTCATGGAAACCCAGTAGGTGTGACCAACTGTTTCAGACCTTTTGTGTCTGTAAAACACTTTGGCCCATCCTTCTAGAGCACTTGGGCAAGAAGTCAGTAGGTTGGATCTGTTGCTCAAGAGAGAAGTTACAACCAGAGCTAAGGGATTCAGATATTATTGATGGTGTGGATCTAGATGAAGTTGGTTGTGATGAACCTAAAGAAAGAGGAGAACCACAGATAGAATTCTGACAATAACAGCATGCAAAGAACAGGAAGCAGTAATGGCAGAATAATATTAAAAGGCAAACACTGAGGGGCTTGGGAGATAGCTCGGCTGTCTAAACACCTGCCCAGCAAGCGCAATGACCCAGGTTTGATCCCCAGTACTGCATGCCCTGCTGGCCCCAGAACCCCAGATGTGCCGCTGGCCACTGAAACCAGACATGGCAGTACATGCGTGTGGTCCCAGTGCTGGGGCAGCTGAGACAGGAGGATCGCTGAGTCTGAGCTGCGTAGTGAGACCGTGTACCAAATAAGTGAATGAATAAATAAATAAAGGCAAACAATGAAAATAGTAAGATGATCAAAATAGAGGGGCATCCTAAGAACCAGCTGTCTGGAGAGTCCCCAGCTAAAGGTCAGCCAGCAATGCCGTCTGGCCAGCAAGTGAAGGACAGCTAGACGCGGGCACTCACAGTGAGCCTTTTCAGGATGTTTCTTTTACCTGGCGAATGGCCTGATGCCTGGCTGTCTGACTCACAACTAAGGGTCCCTCACTGGAGACATGTGCGTATTGGCAGAGGCCAGCAGGGTCTTATTTGACCCATGACCACCCTCTGGGTCTCAGGAATAGCAGGCCTGGGGTGGTGCTGCCTATTTCCTCACATGCAAGAAGAAAATTCAGCACACCACCAGCAAAGAAAACAAATTTGCTTGTAGATCCAGGACAGGAAGGGCCCAGTGAATTAGGAGGGCAGGGCTTTCTCTCCAGGTCACACAAGAGAGATAGAGACAGACAGACAGTCAGACAGAGACAGAGAGACACACACACACACACACACACACACACACACACACACACACAGAAACAGCCACTAGCAGCACACACAAGGAAATAGGGTGTAGGTCACTTGTTTCAGAGCAAATGTGTGAATAATCTCTCTTTTAAAAAAAAGTAAGAAGAGCAGGGAATTCAGCTGGCTGGCAGAAGAGACGCTTCTAAATTCTTATCTCTGGCCCCTGGCCTAGGCCTTTGGATGTGTATTCTTGGTACCAGCCCTTGCTGCATCATTCTGTTACGGGAGGGAGAGACCTTGAAGTACCAGTGGGTGCTCAGAGCAGCAGATACTGACGGCTGAAGAAGATGAGGACTCCTGGCCATGGCTGGTGTCCTGGCCAGTAGCACCATTTAAATGAGAAGTCCAGGACCTCAGGAGATGGAGGAGAGGAGAAAGAGTCAAGGAGTGCAAGCAGGGCATGTGATTTTAAAAACTATTACTGGTGAGGAGAAATGGAAGATGAGCCTGTAGAAGGCAGGGAAGCGCTCACTTTAGGGGGGTAATTCAGTCACGGTTAAGAGCACGGGCCTGGGAACCAGTAGGCTGCCCTCAATGATGGTCTGGCTCCACTCTTACCAGCTGCTCACCAAAGGCAAGGCTCTTCTGCACTCCCAGCCTCACTTTCTCCAAATGAAGAGGGGTAAAGAGGGGTAAAAACCAGTAAGCGGAACACCAACATGGATAAAGCCATTTGTTGGCATGAGGAGCGAGGGTGTATGCTTGTTTGCAGCTCTTAAGGGCCTTACAGCATAGTAGCAAGAGTGATTAGCGAGCCCATGGCCATCCCAGTGGAATCCTAGCGGCGGCGGACTATGCTCTGCCTCTCGGGAGCTTGGGGGATTACGAATCCAGCACTACTCAACATTCATTTCCACCCAGCATTCAGAATGTCTCTTCTCGATCTTTCAGGTTAATCACGTCCGAACCAGAGACTTCGACTGCTGCCTTGTCGTGCCCCTCATAGCAGAATCTGGTAACAAGCTGGATCTGGTCATTAGCAGAAACCCCCTGGCTTCCCAGAAGTCCATAGAACAACAGACTCTGCCCGGAGGAGACTGGAGTGAACAGAACAGTGCTTTTTTCCAACACCCTAGCCACGGTGGTAGTCTGGAGACGCGAGAACCCACTAACACATTATAGCAACACTTTTATAAAGCAGGACAAAAGACGTTATCTATGGTGCTAAAATCTCTTCAAGATTTCTGTGCCGTCCGAGGCACAGGTAATCATGTGGCATTAACTGCAAGCACAGGGGTCTTTTAAATCTCTCTCATGGCTCATGTTCACTTCCCTTTTCAGGTTGAAGAGGTATCTTTTTTGGTGACCACTATGGTATACGGCAGGCAGATCCCTGCCAGGCCCAATGGTAGAGAAAAGAAAAATAGGCTGTCCTTCCCCACGCTTAACATCAGAGGAAATTTTTTACAAGTTTCATCTTCCTATCACTTTTTGAAAAGAGAACTGTCTGTTTGGAAATATCTATGATAATTTCCTTAATTCACTTTGAAATCAGTTTCTTACTATGAAATCATTAATGTAAGAATTTGGCTAACATAGCTTTTCGCACAGCTGGCTCTCCTAGGGGAACTAGTATTGGGTAAGCCGCTGGGCCTGCGGCCATGAGAGGGGTACAGGTATCAAATCAAGTTAGCTTCAGACGTTTCCGCAATGATGCACGTAGGAGACCATAATAGGTGGAGGTAAATGTTTTGCCCGAATATAGGAATGATTTTAACTAAGATGTATGCTACTCCCTATGCAACAAATTATCAAACAGGATATGTCTTGTGACCTGTTTTTTTTAAGGACACATTTTTTTAATAGCTGAAATTCTCTGATAACGAATTAGTGTGTAGTAACACTGAGAATTAGTTATCCTATTTTTAAAATTCAAGACTAAGAATTGAAGAGAGAATGAAGAGTCTATGACAATGAAATTCATCTTAATGATAGGCAAATCAAACTCATACTGCTTGAGATGTTTTGAAAACCGGTATTATTGAGGGGTGTTCAGCACATGTACTTAAAGACGACACTGGACTATCTTCTGTTCTGAGCCATGCCGCTTCTCAAAATTGTAAATACATTCTTCACAAAAATGCATTGCCAATTATCACCGTTCCTCAAAGCAATAAATTGTGACAGTTGCTTTTCTTGTTTGTTGGCAACTGTTTTCTTTTGTTCAGATATTTTGACTAGCTACACTGATAACTGTTATTTAATAAATATTAAAAATAGATCTGTATATTGACGGTAGGATGTTGAAGCAATTATTTTCCCAACATGTTCATTTTGGTGAATAATTCAAGCAACCATTTAGGCAAAGCACTTAAAACACTGTGTCCTTTGTTTAAAGGAAAAGTTCAC